TAGTCAGGACGGGAGACCAGCAGCATGGAGGGGACGGTGTACATGAGACAGCTCATCCTCTCAACGTGCTGGGACAGAAAACATTGAGCTTGCAGGACTCTTGCTCTGACCCATAGCTCAGTTTCCGTGGTCCTGTGTAGCCTTCAGTAGACTTTACTGCCCACCACAGGGAGTCACTGACGCCTGTGGGTGCTGGTCACCTGGTGAACGGGTCTCAGGTGCCGCCGAGCTGTGACCGCTGCCGTCGGGCTGCAGATACACAGGGCAGGCTGGATCCTGCGCTCTGCTCTGGTGTTTGACCTCTGTGCAGCTTATTCAGCCCCTTTGTACCCCATCCCCTTCATTCCCCCCCACCCCTGTGTCCCCCAGTGCCCCTTTCCCACCTTTGACCCTTCTCCTGAGGGGTCCTTTGTCAGCTTTGCATAGTCCCACAGGACCCTCAGACATCCCGAATCCTCACCTCCATTGTTTCTCCCTTCCTGTCAGCTACAAAGGCCGGGATGACCCTCTCCAAAGCTGAGTTTGGATTTCCTAATGGCCGGTCAACTAGTGGCTGAAGAGTTTTAGTCTTCGCTATTGTCTCCACTATCTATCAGGTTTGTTCCTCTGTGTTCTGTGTCTTTCCCTGTTGCTTACTCTTCCCTTTGAACTGCAAAGGTCTGACAACCTCAATGAAGCAGTTGGTCTCACCTTCCACATACCCTCACAGGGACTAGAAGGATTTTGGGAGGAGGCACCAAAAACAACCAAAGGCCCAAAATAACTTCTGTGCAAGGAAGAGCTGGGAGGACCAGGAGTCTCCAGTCTGGAAGAAGGATGACTGAAAGGGTGGGGAAGTGCTCTGTGAAATCTTGAGTGACTTGAAGAGGACATTCAGGTGTAATTGCTCCCTGTCTCTTTTAATACAAGAACTAAGGTGCATTAAATAAAATAGCAGGTAGCAAATTTAAAACCAATTACAGGAGATGTTTTTCACTCAACAGGATTAAGCTTTGGAACATTTTGTCAGAGCGAACTGCAAGCGCTAAAAGTCTGCAGGGGCTCAACCGAGCAGTAAGGCAGGAAAAAGAAAAAAAATCCATTAAGGAATATCCAACACAAAACACTGCTCTTGGTTCAGGAAGTGCCGGAGCCTCAGATCGATAGACGTCAGCAGACAAATGATCCCCCTGTGCTTGCCATGCGCTTATGCTTTTCCTGAGCACTGCCCAGGTGCCAGCATTGGCTGGCTGGACCTTCGCACTCCCCCCAACAAGCACAGAGCTCCCTCGGGGGCTGTTCACCTCCCCAAGGAGCAGCAGACCGTTCTGCAACCACACCACCTCCCATACCAAAACGAGGACAGAGAGAGAAGCTGCCTGGACCCCAGAGCAGGGTCCAGCCCCATGGAGCATCACTGAGCATGTGGTAAGGAGACAGGACATCGGTCCATGGCATTTGGAAGGTGGGAGTCCTTCACTGTCATCTCACCCTGGACAACCATGGTGAAACAACCTCCATCCTGCTGCGCTCTCCCACCTTGCAGGGAGGAGCTTTGCACCCGGGGCTGCTCATATATGGTGATCCAGTGGCAGAAAGGCACTCAGACCCTGTAAAGCAGCATTTAAAATACTATTTATTAGTGCTAACACCGTAAAGAAAGAGAGGACAGCATAGATAATCTTATGTCCTTTCCGATGCTGGGAACCCCAAGTGGTGCAGGGTGGAAGGAGTCTCTGGTCGGCATCAGCGTGGCATGCAGACCTCATCCAGGAAAGGGTCACCCCTTGGTCATTCGAGCTGTTATAAGAAAATCTATTCCCATAACCAGAGCTTCTGCAAAGAGACCATAGCAGGAAGAAAGGGCAAGCAAGGTGGTGGGGTGGAGGAACTTCTCTGCTGTGAGGGTGGCAGAGCAGTGGCAGAGGCTGCCCAGAGAGGTGGGGGAGTCTCCCCCTCTGGAGCCATCCCAAACCCGCCTGGACGCCGTCCTGTGACACTGCTGGAGGTGCCCCTGCTCTGGCGGGGGGTGGGATGGGGGAGCTCCAGAGGGACCTTCCCACCCCCACCAGTCTGGGATTCTGGGACTGTGGGGCCAGAGAAGACAACGTTGCATTTCCTATCCATCCCATTGTAAATCTGACACTTGGTGAACACACTGGAGGAAGAACCTTTGTAATAAGAAACAAAAAAAAAGCAGGATCCACGTGCAAGCTTGTGACAGCCTGTGAGAGGACCAGCCAGGACCTGGGTAACATTTCACAGCGTGTTTTGCAGACGCTTCACCCATTATCTCTTCCAGCAGAGTTGGGACCAGGTGCTGGGTCGCTGCACGTGTGAACACGGGGCGATTGCTGTCCTCAGAGGGTCCAACCACCACCACGTAAAACCAGTGTGGGCATGGGCTTCTTTCAAATGAGCAACGGACAGATGCTGCAGAGTGGGTAAGACACAAAATGGGGGAAACAGGTTGAGGGGGGACTGCATTACTGCTACCCACACCACAGCCTAGATAGAAGCCCATGTCGGCAGCAGAGAGGAGACACGTAACACATTTGTGTGCAGCAGCTGGCTTGCAGGTGATCAGACCTGTTAAATACACCAGTTTCATCGGGCCACAACATATGGATGAACTTTAAATTCCATGAAAATCCAAGAGCGGGTGGGACTACTCATAGCTCTGCCCACCCCAGGCTTCACCTCCCGACCCTCAGCAGGGTCCCGACCATCTCCCAGCAGCCTGCAGCCATCCTTCTGTGCGTGCACAGGCAAAGCCAGGGCTCAGGAGACTTATTTAGACCCAACGCTGCCTTGAGTGCGACACAGAGAAGGAGCTCTCCCTGATGTGTGTCTGTACAGCTCCTCGCACAGAGGGGATGGGGTCCCCAGTGCTTGTGAACCCAAGGTGGATTTGACTCAGGTTCCCCATTGTTTCTGTCTGTTCCCCAAACCCCTTTATTCGATGTCCCTGGGGGGTTTCTGAGACCTCATGAGCATCTGTTTGTGGACTGGGTGACTCTGGCTCAGGCTTTCTCGCTGCAGTCAAAACTGAGCCTCAGTAGCGGCAGAATTTGTAAGTTTCTCAAATGCAAAAGGCAAGAGCTTTGCCGTGAGGTTTCATACCTCAGATGGCACTTGCAGAGCCTGACCTTGATACTTAGAGGTTTCGCTGTACAGTGCTCAAGGGCAAACCAAGGAAATAGTGTTTAATCCCTTCTCTTTGTTCTAATTAATATGTTAATTCATGTGGGGGTTTTTTTTCCTGGTTACAGGAGAGTTAGAAAATATTAGATCAAGAAAGGATCACTGTGGTGATTTGTTCTGACATCCTGCATCACACTTCCAGAAGAATTTCATAACCAATTTACTCATCAAGCCCATCGTATGGGCTTCAGGCAAAGCACACATCCCAGAAGAATTTCTGTTCTTAGTGTTACAGTTGCAACAGATGAAGAATTTGTCATCTGTCCTTCTTTATTTTCAGATTTGCAAACTAGCAGTGTCTCATTTTATCCACTTTCTGTGTAACTTCAGTTTCCAGTCACAGGGTCACAATGTACTTGTGGGTTATATTGAAGAGTCATTGCAGTCAACCACGCACTGACTGGTGGACAATTTCTAGATCAATTCAGCTTTTCTTTTGCCAATCACGTAGTCTAATAAGTCATTCGGTAAGAGACTTGCTTCCCCAGAGAATAAGAAAATAAATAATCTCTCCTTTGATATGGACTAGATGATCACTGCAGGTCCCTTCCAACTGAAATAGTCTATTCAATTCTATATCACTCTGCAAGGTTTGATGTTATATATTGTTCATTGTCAGCGCTCCTCCTGATGTTTCTGGACCTCCGTTTCCCCAGAACGATCTCTCATTTGTAGCAGTGACGGTTGTCACGCAGGGATTCCAGGGTTTCCATTCAGGAGAGATTAAGCAGCAAGCATCGCGCCTCCGGTTCCCTCTCCCACACACGGGCACCGGCTGCCTTGTCCAGGCTATTCCGCATGCCACACGCAGAGGACTCAGCATTGCCACCAGATTTATTCCTGAAGACCTCTTTCTCTGAAAGCTTGCTCTCTCTGCTGAAACCTCAGGTGAAACTTGCATTGCTTTTTTTTTTTCAAAACATTATTTGTTTCTCATTTATTGGATGAACAATTACAGGTTGTGTTGGATAACAAGTCATATTTACTGTGAAAAAAATTAAAACATCCTCAGTACTGTAATCCACCTCCCAAGACAACATCTGGAGGACCATAGGGGCTAGAAAAGTCTAGCTCACTGCTGAATGGACACATGTGAATTAAACATGATTTATGACTTTAAACCAGTAGTATTTATTTTTTTAAATTGCTCTCGGGAGCTTCTAATGTATTGAGGTAGCTGATTAATTTCAAAACTCCTTGATGCTTTTGTCTAGATTTTTCTCTCATTCATGAATATTTTATCCCATAGTCACCAACGAAATGGGAAAAATAATCAGCAGCACATTCATTAACCACTGCTATGAACCTGGGTAATTTATGACATTTGTATCACCTGCATATATAAGTATGCGTGTGTCTGTTTTCTGGTTTACGGGCAGCACACTTATTTTTTGAGGTTTTTTTTAATTTCAATGTAGATGTTCCCTGGGCCGTCATGTCGTTATCCAACAGCTCCAACTCCTTCTGTTACATGTTCATCCTGGACAGGCGTCCTGGGGCTGGAGGCTGCCCACCTCTGGCCCTCCATCCCTTTTACTTCCATTTACATTGCGTCCCTCGCAGGGGACTGCACGATCCTCTTAGTTATCAGGAGCAATCCAAGCCTCCACAAGCTCGTGCCCGTGCTGGCCATCACTGATTTGAGTTTGTCTACACCACCAACTGTGATGAGTGTTTCCTGGGTCAACTACAGGAAAATCAGTTTTGATGGCTGTTTTGCTCAGCTTTATTTTGTTCATTCCTTTTCTTTCATGAAGTCCTCAGTGCCTCTGGCCGTCGCCTTTGATCATTATGTGGCCATCTGCTAACTGCTGAAATGCTCCTCCATCCTCACCAGTGCCAGGATAGCCAAGGTTGGGCTGGCTGCTCTGTGCATATGTCTCTTAGGAGTGCCACCACCACTCTTGTTGCAGAGAAGTTTGCCCCTCTGCCAGTCCCATGTTCTCTCCCATGCCTACTGCCTGCACCAGGACCTGATCGAGCCGGTGTGTGCAGACATCATGTTCGATGGCATGTATGGGTTAGCTGTGGTCATCCTCATAGTGGCTCATTGTTTTCTCACATATTATGACCTGTAAGACAATTGCGAGCATCACATCCCAGAGGGAGCATCTCAAGGCTTTGAAGAACTGCCTGTCCCATATCCTGGAAGTCCTGATCCTGGACATCACAGAATCACAGAATGGTTAGGGTTGGAAGGGACCTCTGGAGATCATCTAGTCTAACCCCCCTGCCAGAGCAGGGTCACCTACAGCATGTTGCACAGGACAGCGTCCAGGCGGGTTTTGAATGTCTCCAGAGTGGGAGCCTCCACCACCTCTCTGGGCAGCCTGTGCCAGTGCTCCACTACCCTCAAGGTAAAGAAGTTCCTCCTCACGTTAAGATGGAACAGCCACATCCCCGTGGCTGGCTCGTCCATGGTTCACCGTTTTGGCAAACATGCTTCCCGTCTTGTTCACATCCTCCTGGCCGACATCTACCTGCTGCTTCCCCCTGTGCTGAACCCCGTCACCTACGGCATAAAAAGGAAACATATCTGTAGAGGCATCCACAGAGTCCTCATGCCAAGGAAAAGCTTCTCCCCATGGCACCACAGTACATAAAGTACTTTTGCTAACTGCTCACCATAAACTAGTGGGATGAACTCATTATGCTGTGTATGCCATTGTCACTAATTGAGTGTATACTTTCAGGTGAAGATAGAAGCAATTAATATTCATATTAATTTAAATCATCATCCATGCTCTTTTATTCTGTGATTTAACACATAATTTACTCTGTGAAGTGTGTTGTATTTCCACTCCTCACTGAAGGAGTTCATGGTCCAGAAAAACTTAAATATGCAAGATTTTTTTTCTCTTGGCCGCTGAGGTTGTAACACACCTTGCTCAAGTATTTTTAATGAGTACCGTAACGAAAAATTAAACCCCAGTCTAGGAAATAATTCAACCTCTGATTAAACCTATGTGATTAGTCGCATTGTTTGCATTTACCAAGTAAGAAGCCATTTGGTCACCAGTTATGAAGCCATCAGGAACTGAATAAAGCAATCTTAAATTCTTTTGTATCCTACCTAAATGCGGGTGATTGCAACAGCCTTGGATGAATATTTGCCAAGTTGTTTTTCGTGGATGCTCAGGTCTGCCCTGGGGAGTACGTTCCTACCAGGCAAGCCGTACCTAGGTAACCTCATCAGTAATACCACGTAAGGTCAGGATGACTTAGGTTATCATTATCAGAAATAACAAATTTGGACAGTGATGCAGCAGAACTGGGGCCAATGGAGAATAAAGTAATAAGAGGCAATTTGTTTACCTGGGAGAAGATTGAAATGGAGAAAGGAAATGTCAAAGGCAGTTAAAAGGAGGGTCAAGAAATGGTAAGAGATAATAAGGCATGCAAGTGATGTGTTTGGGGCTGTCCAGGGTAACAGCTGGGCCACCCTGCACTTGACTTCTATATCTGGAGGAGAACAAAGAGCCCAAAGCTGTGCCACAAGTGTCAAAGCTGTTCCTGTGCTCAGGAGGTCTGGGGGAGGCACTCTGCTTTCCCTGGCTGATGGAAAAAACCTGGGTGAATGGATCAGGCATCCAGTATCACCTCGTCACCCAATGTTTCCAAACTGAGTGGTTGCTGAATGGTTTGCTTCAGTGGTACACCATCAATACTCCTGGATCATGACGCTATGATGGCCATGTTATAAAGCCACGCAGATGTGCGCTCACTCTCCCCACGTAAGGAGCACACCATCCATCGCTCCTGCCTCCACGTGTCTGATAGGCACTTTAGCAGGAAGAAATATTGTGGAGCAGACTTTGGGTAGCTGATTCTCCAAAGAATGCCCTAGCTGGTGAAAAAACAAAAAACAAACAAACAAACAAACCAACCACATGCATTTTCCTGCTTTTAAATTACTTTAATGACTTATCTAATACTTTTGTATACTTTAAGCAAGAAAATCAGTCACTTGAGAGATTAAGTGTCTCTGAGAACTCCCAATAGTGCAGATATAGGAGAAAGTTTGTACTGAAGCAGTTACCAATCTCAACTGTCAAGGACAGGAAGTTAAAATGGAAAACAAGTTTTTATAGTTGAAACCTATAATGTCCTTAAGAGAAAACATGCTTCCCATCTGAAGAACGAGCACTGGGTGCAACCAGCATCCTGCACCTGAGGTACGTAACAGCACAAATTTATTTTAGACTTGTAACCTACTAAATTAGTTTCTTTTGGAAATCTGTGCATATTCATTAATACAGCTGGGAATTGGGATGGTGTTACTGTGGGTGCCCTGAAGCAGACAGACTCCCTGATGTCTGTGGCATTACGCGGGGGCACATCTGTGAGGGTCTGGATGAGGGATTGACTCCACACACGTTCTCTTGGAGAACTGTCTGCCTTTATATATTCTCCCCCGGCAGGTTAAATGTGCCAGCTCAAAATTAATTTAAGCAGCTCAGTTAACTGGCTCAGAGCCTTGATGTCTACTTAGATCAGGTTTCTCCGGCCCTTGTCCCATGGAGGTTTTAATTTCCAAGGACTGAAGTCCCACCCCCATGAGGAAGAATTTTTCCTTTACTGTCCAACTGAATTTTCCCCTATTGCAACTGTTGTACCCATCCTCTTGTCTTTTCACCTCTAATAGGCCTGACTCCATTTTATCTGTAATCTCTTTCAGGTATTGGAAGACTTTAATTGTAATCTTTGACACCTTTTCTTCCGGTTAAAAAACCTCAGTTTCTTCATCTTCTCCTTGTATGTTGTGAGTTGCAGCCACCCGCCCGTCCTAGTGGTCTTACCTGGACTTGCTCCAGTTTATCAACATAACTTTTGTTTGTGTGGAAGGATCCACAACTGGACAGGGTACTCCAGATGCAGTCACACACTTGCTGATTAAAGGGAAAAACCTCTTCCCTTGACCTGGTGGTTGCACTCTCACAAACGCAGTCCAGTCCACAGTTGGTCTTCATTGCTGGAGGGGCACTCTGAGGACTCGTGGCCAACCTGCTGTCCACCAGGCCCTTTCTGAAGAGCTGCTCCTCAGCCAGAAAGTCCCAGACAGGACGAATGCAGGGGCTGTCCTGTCCCAGGTGCAGGAATTTGTGGGGTTTTCATCAACCTCATGGGACGCAGCTGAGAATTTCCAGGTGGAATTCCTCACTGTTCAGACGGGTCTCAACCCTGCGCAGCGCTGGGTGCCCAGACCTGACTCAGGGGCTTGTGAATGCCCACCAGAGTTAGGTGAGTGTCTATGCACTTTAAGCAACCCACCTCCCCAGCCCACACCTCTTTCCACACTTCACACGTCCAGTTAATTAGGTCTCTCCAAACTGGAGCAACGTCAAGTCGTGTGAGCCCCAGTGTGCCGCTGGGTGGGGAGATGCTGAGACTGGCCGTGACTCCAGCAGCTCCTCTGTAAGGAGCACATTATTTCAGGCATCTCTTAGGCACACAGACGTTTGTATATGGCTTAGTCACGATGACTCACACTTGATACAGAATCAAAAATGAGCAAATCTTAATTCTGGAAGAAATGATTCATTAACATAAGACCATTATTTATTGCTGTCGTGATGTTGCCTAAAAGGAACGCAACAGGCTCTATTCCAATGTGTATTTGCCCTCTACTTGCACCTGGACTGGGGAGATTTAACAAGGTCTATTGACTAGCAGCCAGTGGAATGAAATGCTTGACACCTAAAGTCCATTAAACACCTCTGAAAATCTCTGTCTAAAATGTGAAAGCCACAACATCGTTAATTGGTAAGCTTCAGGCACAAAGGGGAAACCTCTCAAAGAATACTGCAAGCCGTTCTCTAGTTCTTGCATCCATTTCAACTAAGCTGGCATTGAAATTTATAGGAGACATCTGTCTCCTTCCTTTGTACAGGCAAAGCGCAGTCCTCTTGAGTGGTCACAATTGAAGCTGTCTCAGGTAGACTACGACATCCTTGAGCTGAAGGTGGTAGGTCAAACCTCCAGAAAAACAAAAACAAAAAAACAAACAAACAAAAAAAGCAGAATAGTTAAAGGTTTGTGAGCAGCATTCAGCCTACCCCTCCCTTTGCTGGGGATCTCCTTTGGGAACAAGCCCAGAGACCTGATCTCACAGCCTGAAGACGTGGCTGGAGACTGACCCATCCCATTTGAATCCATTCCTCAGGAGCACTTACCCTTTTTGCCCTGTGCTTTTCCAGCAGTGATTCTGAGATTTTACACATCTTTTCTAACCACAGGCTGACCCATCCATGTGTTTTGTTTTCACAGACAAGCTTTTGCAACCAAATGGGCACAAGCTTGAACATAGGAAGTTCCATCTTAACATGAGAAGGAACTTCTTTACTTTGAGGGTAGTGGAGCAGTGGCACAGGCTGCCCAGAGAGGTTGTGGAGTCTCCCACTCTGGAGCCATCCCAAACCCGCCTGGACGCTGTCCTGTGCAACCTGTTGTAGGTGACCCTGCTCTGGCAGGGGGGTTGGACTAGATGATCTCCAGAGGTCCCTTCCAACCCTAACCATTCTGTGATTCTGTGACTGCTTACCGTGACAGCCCTCAGCATCCCCATCTCCCAGCCTGCCGAGCTGCACCTCTGAGGGATGGAGCAGCGTGTGACGATGGCCGTAGGGATCTGCCTCAGTTTGAACAGCATCTTCTTTTACAAGTGCCTAGGCTGAAGAACAGATGAGCTATGTCTTCAAAGTGAAGAAATTCCTGGTGATTCAGGGTGGATTAACGTTATGGTACTCAAACTGAAACGTTGCTCTGTGATCCAGTGCTGAAGGCAGACCCGAGTGCTTTTTTGGAAACCAGCTTATATGTAGAATTTTCAAGCTGAGTACTGAAACAATGACGTAGAAACATTTCTAGTCAGTTTTGAACATTAAGGCCGTTATATGACCACAGAGAACATTCAAACCCAGCAATAATAACAAAATCTGGGGCTTCAAGAGATGAATTTTGTACCTTCTCTGCTTTGCCTGACACAGGGGCTGCTGAGTTCAAACATAAAACTGCTGTATGCTCACGTATCTTCAGTTTTCCCACGCATAATATCACTGGAAATAAAGTCAGAATACGCCAAGATAACAGATACAGACAACCTCCAGTTACTGCCATGTCTGGAGACCACAGTGCCTGCAGGGTCATCCTGGAGCCCAGCTCACAAAAGCATAGGTACCCACGGGGAAGGACCCAGAGCGGGTTAACACTTACTCTGGGACTAGATCCACAGTGGGGATTTTACACATGGGAACACCAGGCTCTCCCAAAGTTCCCGTTAGACTGCAGCCCCCAAGGCGATGTCTCAGGGATGTTATGAACGTGAGAGTCACCAACCTGAGAGACGGTGTCTGCGCGGCCAGGTCAGCTGCTTACTGGGGTTTATTTCTTGCATAATGACTGCAACAGCCAAATCACCCTTGAGGGGGGGAGAGAAGGAGCTTGGTTTATCGGCACTTCTAATTCTGGCTTCTACCAGCAGCTAGGAGCACTCCAGCTGTGAGATGAAGCTTAACGCTTATAATCAGGACACATTTAAAAAAGGGTTTACCTTTCACCAGGAAACTTTTTCCTAGGCCGAACTGCAGGTGGGTGCCTTGCCTTCACTTCTCTGGGAGGGTCTGTTTAAACCTACCTATCCTCCCCTCTGCTCAGCTTTTTAGTGTCTGCCGGGAGAGCCACCCCGGGAACACACAGCGCAGCCTTGCAAAGCCGGCGAGCATCTCCCGCCCTTTCAGACTGCAAAGCCAGAGCTCAGTTTGCAGTTGAGGCACAGTCTGCTCCGTACAACGCTTCCTCGTCCGAGGCAGTAGAAGTCAGGTTATGCCCCAGTGTCTTTTCCCCTCCCTGCTCTTCAGACCCACAGTGCTGGGATGTTTCCACGGTCACCAGACCATGAACCAGGATGAGGAAGGTTCAAGATAGCTCATTTTCTTTCTTCTGTTTTTCTTTCAGGCTCGGTGACTGCTGAAGCAGAGGAAGGTGAGTGATGGATAGTAGTAAGTGGATCATTCCCATGTGATGGTGGTGTGCATGGTCGGAGCGGGGAAGGTTGGAGTCCCTGCTGCCCTGAGGACAGGAGCTGCTCCAGGGAACAGCCGCAGGTCTGGAGACCACAGGGTGCAGTGAAGGAGCCAGGTGAAGCACAGTGGGAGCTGGGGCTCGTTCTGCAGGAGGGCAGGGACATGTGGTGCAGCAGAGTCCTCTCTCATCCCTACAGCACCCAGACATAATGAAACTGCCATGTCAACATTTCCCTCCGTATCCTCCCTCCCTCTGTGTGCTGTTATCCTAGACTTTGGAATAGACTCATTGCTCATTGTCATCTCCTACGTTATGATTTGGACAACCACTGTCACTGCCACATCTCAAGGGCAGCATCTCAAACAGCTGTGGACCTGCATCTCCCGTGTCTCTGCTGTGCTACTATCCTTCATCCCAACGGCGGCTGTCTCCACCATACACCAGCTTGAGGAGGACCTTCCTCCTTTTGTTCTGATGTCCCGTATTTACCTCTCTGTGCAACTCACAGAATCACAGAATCACAGAATGGTCAGGGTTGGAAGGGACCTCTGGAGATCATCTAGTCCAACCCCCCCGCCAGAGCAGGGTCACCTACAACAGGTTGCACAGGACGGCGTCCAGGCGGGTTTGGAATGTCTCCAGAGTGGGAGACTCCACCACCTCTCTGGGCAGCCTGTGCCACTGCTCCACTACCCTCAAAGTAAAGAAGTTCCTTCTCATGTTCAAGTTTATGAACTTCCTATGTTCAAGTTTATGCCCACTACCCCTCATCCTATCACTGGGCACCACTGAAAAAAGACTGCTCACTCGTTTGCAGTGTGAGCAGCAAAGATATTTTAAAGGGCATCCTCAGAGTCATCTCCAGGCAACAGACCTAAACTGCCTGTGATTTAGGAGTGCAGGTTTGGAGGGATTCAGGTAACTCAGCCAAGATGCTTTCTGTCACAGAGAACCACAGAGCACAGTTCTCCTTATAATGAGATTGAATTCCGCCTCAAACAATTGGGATTTTTGGCCCTGCTGCTCCCCTGGGAAGCTGTCTAACCACCAGAGGAGAAAGATTTTGTAAGTCTCATTTATAATGCAGCCCCAAAACACCCGTCATCCCGGGCTGCATCCCCAGCAGCGTGGCCAGCAGGGCGAGGGGGGACTGTGCCCCTCTGCTGCGCTCTGCTCTGGGGAGACCCCCCTGCAGTGCTGCCCCCAGCTCGGGGGCCTCAGCACAGGGAAGGACACGGAGCTGTTGGAGCGGAGCCAGAGGAGGCCCCGGAGATGCAGATCTTGGGGGGGTCTCGGGGTCAGGGAGGGGAGCCGTGGGACGGGGGGGAGCGGTTTGACACTGACAGAGGGGAGACTGAGATGAGATGTGAGGAAGAAATTCTTGACTGTACAGGTGGTGATCCCCTGGGGCAGGTTGCCCCAAGAAGCTGTGGCTGCCCCATCCCTGGAGGTGTTCAAGGCCAGGTTGGACAGGGCTTGGAGGAACCTGGGCTGGTGGGACGTGTCCCTGCCTAGGGCAGGGGGTGGAATGAGATGGTCTTCAAGGTCCCTTCCAACTCAAACCATTCCGCAATTCTATGTTTCCATAACAGTCTGTTCAGTCAATAGGAGTTTTTTACAGTAAAAAACTTGTCTGGGTGGGTAAGTAGCAAGTAGATAGGGTCTATGCATCTTCATGAAGAGTTCACCTTACAAAGAAATAAAACCTATTGTGCTGTCCTGAACTCAGCTGGCCAGCCATGGAAAGGGCAGGAGGTGCGTGGCGGAGCAGCGCAGGTCATCAGTGTCATCACAGACCAGTGTCAATCCAGCTGAGGAGCAGCCACCCAACGCATTGCATAGCGTTAAGCAGCAGAATTAGAGGAGCCGGACAAATGTCCATGGGTGTCACCTGCCCTTGAGACACTGATGACCAGTGCTCCCCGCCATGCTGCGGGCAGACGAGGCATGCGAGGAGGGGCACGAGCCAGGGGACATGGGCATGCGTCCTGCCAGGGGTGGCAGTGGCTGGGGGGAGCCAGCTCTCATCCCTCTCACCATCACGTGGGGAGGAGATCACGTCCCTAAGAGCAGCCACCCTCCACACTTGGATGACTTCACATGATTGCAGTTTGCAATCATCCTTCTAATTGGGCTTTCAGTAAACCCATGTGTCTAACCAGCCCGCAAACTTCTCTTGGTCTTCAGACTCAGCCATTAGACAATAGCATTATCTGTATTTCTTTCTATATTGCAGAGATCATTTGGTTTTAATGTGTATTTTATCACTGCTGTATACTCTTGAATACTGGAAGATGTGAAATACTACAGCTGTCTTGTACACCAAATCAATGTAAACACAATGAGAACATGACAAGAGGAGATGAATGTGGGTAGTAAGTTATTAAACAATATTTCCTGTACGATTTCTAGAGCCAGAACCTATTTGTTTATTTATTTTTATTACATTACCTGAGAGGCTGCATTTAAAAATTAAGAGTGGCATACTACTCAGGAAATGGATATCTGTGGTACACCATTTTCTCCTTCTCATGGAAGAAATTTCACATTTTATTGCCCAAGATGTTGCCTCTGTGATGCCAGCTTTTATGTCTTTCCTTTACACAGTGTGTGAGGTGTGTTAAACGTGCAACACATAAAATGTGTTTTAAAAGAGAAAAGAAGAAAAAATGAAAAATATTGTTCCACTGCCTGTTAGGTAGCAGATGTGAAGGAAAAATTGGCTTTTCATTTCACAGAGCAGAATTTTATAACTTGACGAAATATAAATTAAAATAGTTTAACACAAACCTCATTGGGACTTCTTTTTCTGAAAACAAGAACCTTGGAAATATGTAAAGCTGCCCAAAATATTTGGTTTCACTTTGCAATGATAAGAAAAGGCAGCACCTTACATAACGGAGACAGAAGAACTTCTTCAGGGAGTCTGTAGTAGATGATTTTGACCTTCTTTAAAATTTCTTCCCCAAAAAGGTTACCAAGCACTGGCACAGGCTGCCCAGGGAAGTAGTGGAGTCGCCATCCCTGGAGGAATTTAAAAGATGGGTCGATGTGGTGCTGAGGGACATGGCTTAGTGGTGGACTTGGCAGTGCTGGGTTAACAGTTGGACTCGATCCTACAGCTCCCTTCCAACCAAAATGATTCTATGATCTTATGATCATGTAATGTACTTTGAAGGACAGTTGGATCAACTTCCTATTATCCCTAGAGACTGCAGAGGAGCAAATTGCTGCACAGTGCACACAACCACGCTCTTTATCAGCACCCTTCGCCAATTGTTTGGGTCGTATGTCCATGACCTCTGGTACCTAATGCCATTTTCATGATGACCACAGCAGTTGTTGCTTTTGCGTTTGGCACGCACAATGTCCCAACTGCCGGAAAACAGAAAGGAACTCTGTCCCTGCCCACCTCACAGTCACCTACACCCTGGCATCAGCGTATACTAACATAGAGTCCACAGAAGGAAAACCAGCCTTTTATGTTTGTGAGGAAATATTCAAAATCTGCAGGACGTCTTTGGGAGAAGAAAGCCAAAACGCTGATGCTGCTCAGCCAGACCTGCCAGAGGTCACCTGTCCCTCCCAAAGCACAGGACCAGAGGTAGCTGTGGCAAATCATAAACAGACTTTACAAATTAACAGTTTGTCTGCATTGAGACTCCTTCTCTTTCGTCGGGATCCAGTGTCTGATGACTTGGGATGGTAATGGTCTAAATCACTCGGGCCTTTTGTGCAACTAAAGTGCCCCAGGAGCCACAAGTACTGAGGAAGGCTGCTCCAAGCAGCACCAGCACAGCCTGGACCACTCACCTGCGGTGCCAAGCCCACCAGATAGCATGTGCGCTAACAAAAGCATCATTTCCTCGACCTTTGAGTCACCAAACTTTGCTCCTCACTTGGTTTCGTCCAGTTGCAAACAGCTTGCGGCAGTAGGTATTTGTATTTGCAGCGATGACGGTGTCAGATTTACACGTGTGTTGCGTCGCGTCAATTTTCAAGAGCATTCCCGGGGAGCGCTGTGCCTCCCCATCGCTGCCCCACCAGAGCCTCCTCTCTAAATAACGAGCTGCCCGGTTTTGCAGTGCTGTGTGCCCCCGTTCCATCTGCAGTCGAACGCTTGTCACCCAGGACATGACACTCTCCCTGCCAACTCTTGGTAATTAAACAATATACGACTGTCTTGATTGCAATTAATTTCTCCAGCTTTCTTTGTGTCAAGGGCTGGGAAACCTAAGGATTAAATGTCCCTGTGCCTGGTGTAAATCTTGAAAACCACAATATCTTTTCCAACAAACTGCACGCAGGAAATTCCTCCTCCATATGGCACATCAAAAGACAGTCTGACCTTTCCCATGTCCTTTAGCGGAGAGCAGACTGGATCACCTCAAGGTCGTATTTGTTACTGCGCAGCTGAGGTTGCGAGCGCAGAGGTAGCGACACAGACCCAGAAGCATAGATGTGAATCAAATTACTCGCTCGCTTGCATACAAAGCAGCAGGCGACTCATTGAAAAGCAGGCATTTCCAGAGATGGAAAATTAAGTCCCACCGAGGCAAGCTAAGAGTGCCGGCAGAAATTACACCATGCGTGCAGCCCTTTGAAAATCAGGAAAGCCTCTTTGGTGATGGGCTAATTGATTCACGTGCTAGGCCACCTCTCCCCTCTGCGGGTAGGTCTCTGCACGTGGACAAAAGGGACGAGTTTTCAGGCACAGAGAGGGATGTAATGGGACCTGGGTACGGTGAGCCATAGAATCATCTGGGTTGGAAGGGACCTTTAAGATCATCGAGTCCAACCATCAACCTAACACCACCAAAACCGCCACTAACCCATGTCCCTCAGCACCACATCTGCCCGTCTTTTAAATACCTCCAGGGATGGTGACGCCCCCCCTTCCCTGGGCAGCCTGTTCCAACACTTGACAACCCTTTCGGTGAAGAAAGTTTTCCTAATATCCAATCTA